GTGTGTGTGTGTATTTGCGTGTGTGTGTGTGTGTGTGTGTGTGTGTGTGTTCATGTCCGCGTGCTAGCATTCCCTCTCTTTCCTTCACAGCTACTAAAAAGACACAGAGGACCTATTGTGCCCAAGGAAGGAAAATCACTCCATTTTCAGAAAAGGAGAGGAATGAACAGCACTCCCTCTCTCTCCCTCTCTCTCCCTCTCTCTCGCTTCTCCCCTCCCATTCACGCGGCAGCTGAAATGGTGAAGCTTGTTAAAAAGGAAGCCCGCATGACAGCATTCACAGCTTTGCTTACCGCAGCATTCCCCTACCCTCTCGCACGCCGTGCGCCTTTGCACCAGAAACCGTGGATGAAAGCAACTCGATACGCTGTCTCAAAAAAGAAAAGTTAAGGGGCCATGAGCGAGAGAGGGAGGAAGAAGAAAGACAGGGGAACGGGTAGAAAAAATGTGAGGATTTGGAGTAAATGAGGTGTTTCAGTGGGAATAGCAGAACAACATTAAAAAGAGAGACCTTTGTTTTATTATTATTACCTGTTCAGGGTTGCAGTGTGCTTGCTCAGGAACTGGCTGCAAACCATATTATTTCAAAACACTGCCTACTGAGAGAAAGTCAGGCTCCTGCCTGCTAATATTAGTTTACAAAACTAATACGGAAACTTTGCATTCCAATGGACCAGTGATGTAAGTAGCTCAACTCTCATTGGACAAATAGATAATTATGGCCAGTTGATGTAATTCTCGTGTGTGAGTGTGTGAATGTTGGGTAAAAAGCACTTGTGTGAATGAGGCTTGAAATAAGAAAGTGCTTTGAGCGCTCAAATAAAGTAGAAAAGCACTATTTATGTACCAGTTCATTTACTTTTGCTGGGATAAATGTTGAACTATGATGATCTTGTTCTTTAGCCCAGGTATATTAACTCATATAGTAAATGACCATTTTTGGTTTTGGTATCATTATTTTGAAAGTTCAGTCACTGGTAACAAGCCAACCCAGGACTTTCTTGTCATTTTCCCAACTGGCAGGTTTATTGACCAGATTGCTGTTGTGGTAGTCCTAGATTTTATGCAGCTGTTTCTCCAATCAGTCTCTTTTTCTGCATCTGGATGAACTCAAACTCCACCAGCTTATGTTGATGGTGAACATCACGGTTATGCTCTGGAGGTTCAGGAGAGGACCAGGAGGGCCGAACCTGCAGGTCTGTGTGCGTCTGAGCAGAGCACTAATGTTCTGACAAAACTACTGTTGAAAGCTGCAGCCAGCTGATATTTGATTCATGGTCACATGTTTGAGTCCATTTGTGTAGCTACAAAGAGAATTGTTGTAAGAATTCATCCTATGCACAGGTTATAAAGATGCCTTACATCATTCAAAAGTCAACAGCACAGACCTGTGGAACTGGTGCCATACGAGGGCCAACAACTGATTGGTGAACAAAAAAGAAAGTGACATAGGTTCACCATAAAAATGAAGACATCAAGCATACAAGATTAAAAAAAAATCAAGCAAAAAAAGAAAGTCCATAGTTCTGTCATTGAACGACTGGGAGATGTGGTAAAAAGATCTGAAAATCTGCTTTCCATTTGAAAGGTGTTTTTTTCTAAACTATAGTTTCTCATATGATTCAGTGCAACCAGATCATCTTGTAGCAAACCACAAAAGTTCAAAGCAGCACATGTAGCTGTACATATGCAATATGCATGGCTCGCCCAATGCCTTTAAGCTTAAGCAGACCTATTTTAGAGCAAGGATTTCTAACTGAATTAAAACAGACAAAAAAAAGAACACTGGAAAATACAACCGTTTCAATGAAATGGAGTATAAACGTACTCATCTCCTTGGCGTGAGACTCTCTGCAGGTCCTAGCCATCAGATTGGAACGAGGCCCTGTTACCGACAACATTTCAGCACCCTGGACAGCAACACAATAGCCTGGAGTTATCCAGCAGAGGCAGGAAAACAAGGACAAAAGACAGAGGAGGAGGTGAAGGAGGGCAGCAAGCCAGGGACATAAAAAAGGAAGAAGTGGGGGAAGAGAAGAATTCGGCTGCTGGAAGGCCATTCACACAGAATACAAAGAGCCAATGTCAACTTGGGTAGGACTTGAAGAGCAGAAAACAGAATTAGCATTAGAGTGGCTTGCAGAGTTCATCCATGTCGCACGCCTGGGAACGAGAGGAGGACAGGCCAAAAAGTGTAGAGGGGGATGACACAAACAGCAGTCATTTTCCAACAGCAGCTTGCTATCATGGAAAATCAGACCTCTTAATGCTGTGCAGCACATTTTCTTTTACTGCTCCTCGAAATGGTACCCCCACCATGAGAACAATTCTACTCAATGCAAAGTTCACAAAGTAGCCAAGTAGAACCCAAATAGCTGGCATTACATGTGGAGAAATGTTGTCAGCTCTCTGCATACTGCAGCCTGCCCTCTATTTCAAGTTTCCTTTTACTGCTTACTCTCAAGGGGCTACCTACTACTTCTAATTGCAACATTAATGACAGTTCTTCTCTCCTGCAAGATTAAAATGCTTAAGAAGGAGCAGTTGTTAAAAGAAAAAGCCACATTCTCTATTTACATACCTCCCTCAAGTCCAGCTGGTTTCTTTTCTGACAGTACAAGCAGCACTTAAGAGATATTTGGACAAACCCTTGACCCTGCTGAAGAAAAAACTGAACCTTGTAGTGACCCACACTGGGGATGGATTTTCAAGGAAGTGTTGAATGGCTAAGTTAGCCACAAAGGAGGTCCCACCTTGCAAAAGGTTCTTAAAAATAACTTAAAAAGGCAGCTTTGCTAGACAACTACAAAACACTGACATCTGGTTAAACTCTTAACATCCACATGATTGCTGGTGACCTGTTGAGACCTGGAGCTGGTTTACATTGACTTCTTTATGTGCAAGTTTCACCTATTTGCAATACCCAAAAAGAAATTTCCTGACACAAGATGTATAAGGTGAGAATCAGAAGATAATGTCTTCTAAACTGCCAAGAATGCAGTCCAACCCTAACTCTACCCCTGTGATTTGCCAGCCACCAGGTGATGTTATGAGGCTATAAAGTGAAAAGATGTTTAGAAAAAGAAGTCATCAAGTATATTGAGTCACAAAGGGAAAATAGAGGTCGCCTTCTTCTGCCACATTGCTACAAATCCTGTCCACCAAGCCCTCGAAGTGCATGGATGTTGATTTTAGGGATAAATCTAGTCGTGACCTCTAAAGAAGCGTTCCTTTATGTCTAAATTTGGTTGAAAATCTTTTCTGCACATTAGAAAGAATTAAATAAAGGCTAAAGTTGGTTCAAAACTTAAAGTCTGAGAGATACGTGCATCACATGTTGGTGTTTCAAATATACGAGCATGCGTCTCCAAACTAACATCCTTAATATATATATTGAGTGAGACAGTCTCAAGCAAATTTTACCATGAAATAGAAAGAATCATTTATATGTAGATATATATATAACAATATTCTATTTTTTAAAGCACCATTAGTACTGGTTTGTACATGATGAGTAGCTGTATGATGATTGCCATCTCAAAGACAAACAAAGGTTGATCAAATGCTGCATTTGTTTGCTCTACAAACACAGAAAATATAGCTAGGTATGATCTAAAAGTCTAAACCATCATGTCTGTAGAAAATTTAACCCAGTTTTCCCCTGCTCTAAAATCTGCCTGGTGTGCAGTACATGGCTAATTTGACTATCCACTATTTCTTTTTCAAGCTTTAATCTACAGAAAACTTCCCCATAGACACAATTCAAGGTTGAAAGAATTGATCCAAGCTTTGTTTTACAATGACAACTTTTCTCATTTCACTTTTCAACCATATTCAGTTCTTCAGCCCTCTGATATCAAGGTTATAATCCTGACTCTTTCAGTCAGGATTATAGTCTGACAGCCTTAGACATGATTAGCCATTTTTCCACTTCAGTACATCTGCAAGACAGCCAGCAAACCCGAACCCAGACCCAGAGCACTAAGAAACACATGTAGATCTTTGGGCTAAAACTGGTCAGACAGTCAAGATAATAAAAATAAAAAAATGTCTTAGGGGTCACTTGGACATGACTCGCCAACACCTCTGTAAACTCCCTGGACACGCAAATGATGACTGAGCAGAAGCCGACATTTACTGACATCTGCTGCTTGGTAGGAATGCAGCAAATATCTTTCAGCTGCAGGAGAAAAGGAAAAAAAAGAAAAAAGAAATCTCGTCAATCATTAGAGGGCCCATCACATTTCATTACAGACAGAGTGAGTGCGAGAGGAGGAGGAGGAGCTGCAGGCAGGCTCTATTTTCATTTTCTCTGGCTGTAACCACACACACAAACACACACACACACACACACACAGCAGTTGGCACAGCGTAACACCACATCCAAAAATAATCATGCACAGTGGAAACAAAATTCACTCCCAGCTCAGGATCTTGACAAAGTGCTTCAGTGAAAATTTAATTGCGCTGCTTTGCCGCACTGTATTGCTCACCTATAGCATACAATGTTGTCTAGAAGTTGTACAGCTCCAAAGACACATAGCAAAATAATATGGTCTTCCCTGGCAGGAACCAACATATAACTTCACACCCGGTCTTGAGTTCATTTTTTTCCTTTTTTTTCTTTTGAAACGGACAAATAAATCTTCTATTTTACATAAAGATTTCTTTAAAATACAGCACTTTGAAAAAGAAAAAAGGACATTTCCAGTTTGCAGAGAGCATCGTTGCTAAAATAGTTGAGTGCAAAGGCACTTTCTGGGATAAGTATTGTATGATTTCGCCATTTGTTGGGTGTTGAAAAGGTTTTCTTTGATGGTTTTAACACTCACCATTTATCTGTGTAGGCTAAATATATACAGGAATGTCAGTCCTCTTCTACAAAGAATAACTCTTTTTGTCTTTGTCACTGGGAAAATAAAATACAGTTTTTGTACACAGTCCTGCCCATTTTGGATACCTGCTGTCATCAAAGTCTTTTTCTTTTTTTTTTAGAATTTCCTTTTTCCAAAAATGAAGAAATAATTTATACCTTCCAGAAGAAAAAAATAGACCTGCATAATAATATACTTCTTATATTTCTTTTATACATCTTGGAAAGAAAAGCAAGAGAGAGAGAAAAAAAGATCATCAGAGGCTTCAGTTCACTTCCAGTCTGTCATGTAGGATTGAACACAGATAGATAAGATAGATATATAGAGAGGGCTATTATTACAGTAACAGCGTGATTATTACGAATGCGGCCGTTGTCACTATCTTACAGTTGGCTCATGGCAGTCTGTTTCTCCAGAACCTCCAGGTAGTCGGGCTCTGCTTTTAGCTTTCCAGGGAGCAGGAGTGGGTGCTCATTTTTAGAAGGGTGTTCGGGCCCAAAGTATTTCCTCGGGGTGCCATACAACACAGTTTTGTTCACCCTGTCCTGGTTGCTGATGTGCCTCCGTGCTGTGGCAGCCTCATAAGGGGGCACGATGCAAGGTCTCTTAGGCAGAGTGCAAAAGTTGTAGGTGAATGGAGGGATGCCTGCCGTTGTGGGGAGTTCTTTGTTGGGCCTTTCCCCTAAGTTCTGATACAACATCTCAGGAGGCTCCGGGGTGACCAAGCCACATGACGTTGGAGATTTATCCATAAAATCCACTGTGCTGATGGTGTAGGCCCCTGGGCTGCGGTGAAGGATGTCGTCCTTCTTTGTGTCCAGAGGCCCAAAGCTGAGCTCCTTCAGGTTGCGGTAATAAGCCACCTGTTCACCATCCTTCTGCATGTAAATGGGGTTTTGGCACATGGAGCCCACGGGTGGGGGAATGTAGTTATAAACGTGGCTTTCAGAGCTTTTGTCTTGGGTTGGTTCTGGAGCGTAGGAGCCATACTGCACTTGGAAAGAGTTGAGATCTAAGTTGTTAGCACCTGTGGGGATGTGTTCGACCCCTTTGCGCCGTTTTAGAACAAAAACAAAGAGGCCAGCGCCAAAGCAGACCGACAAGATGAAAACCACAAGGAGCCCAAGTATGAGGACTGAAAGGGGGACCTCGGGGTGTAACTCAGGGGTGTGGAGGCGGGATTCAGTGGGGCTGACTGAGCTGAAAGAAGAAGACGGGGAAGAAGTGGGAGAAGAAGAAGAGGAAGAGGGGGTGGGGGCTTCAGTGTGAGGGCTGCTTAATGTGGGAGCTTTCGTAGGGGGTGCCTGCTGCAGTGGGGGCACCTCGCTGGGCTCAGGGCAGATGGCCTCATTGCGAAGGGAGCGCAGTAGGCGCCCCGCATGCTTTGAGGGGGAATCACAGGTTATTTCATTAACCACCACGCTGGTACTGGACAGCTCCATCCAGTTTTTGAGGGCGACGATGTCACAGGTGCAGTCCCAGGGGTTCTCCTGCAGGTCGATCTGAATGAATGCAGACAGCTGGTCTAGAACACCGCGAACTGGAAGGTAGGAGAAATGATTATTCCGCAGGTTGAGTCTTGTTAGCATGGTGCCCCCGAACACATTGTCAGGGAGGGATCGCAGCAGGTTGTTGTTGAGAAACAGCAGCTGAAGGTTGTGAAGTGAGTTAAATGTTTGTGGTAAAATTTCCTTGATGATGTTATATTCCAAATAGAGATACTGGAGAGACTGCAGACCAGCAAAGAGAGACTGAGAGAGTGATTCAATATAATTCCCATTCAGATATAACCGTCTGAGGTTTGTGAGATTCTCAAAAGCTCCTTCATGAATCACTGCTATCCTGTTATTCCCTAAATGCAGCAGCTCCAGCGAGCTGTACTCAGTCAGATCAGTTCTGTAAATCATTTGTAAATAGTTGCCAGTGAGGTGGAGTTTCTTTGGGTAGGAGGGCTTGGGGTGAAGCTCAGTAATGTTGTGTAACTTCCGCTCTTGGCAATTGATGTTCAGTCCACTCTCTGGATTTTGTGACGTGCAAACGCACACACTGGGACACAGCATGGGCACAGGGGAGCGTGTTTGGTAAACCATTATGGGCCCAAAGACGTGTTTGTCCTTTGAGAGGCGAGGGGTGGGTCTGTAGCGCACTTTGGGAGGGCGAGAAGCTTTTGGGGCTCGGGTGGGGGTGTTAATACCAGGGTGGTAGGTCGGGGCCAGGGCCCCTGGAAAATGAGAGTCGGAGGCAGGGTGAACACGCTCCCCTGCGTTCCTGCGGGGGCACAGATCCTGCTTTATGAGCTGTGTGATGTCTTTGCCGTGCAGCCTGAATGGCGTCTCACACACTATGTCCCCCACAAACACAGAGATGGTGTCCAGCCAGGATTTGAGGGGGATTAGATCACAGGTGCAGTTCCACGGGTTCTCCTCTAGCTGAATCTCCATGATGCCACCTATGTGCTCCAGGACCCCCGCAAAGGGCAGCATCTTCAGTCGGTTACCACGTAAATCCAAATGCGTGAGGAGCACAAAGCGGAAGATATTAGGAGGCAGAGACAACAGCAGGTTGTCGTTGAGGATCAACACTTTGAGCTTGTTCAGTTTACTGAAAGCGCCAGGCTCGATGGCACTGATATAATTATAATCTGCCTGTAAATACTCCAAACTCTCCAATCCTGTAAACGTGTCCTCTTTAATCACCTCCAAGTTATTGTTGTTCAAGTGGAGCCGCTTCAGGAAGCGGAGCCCGTTAAAAGCACCTGGTCGGATCTCCTGCAAGCCATTATTTCCAAGATGCAGCGAGGTGACATTGCCGTAATTGACGAACTCATTTGCGCTGAGCCGTGACAGGAAGTTTCCGTTCAGAAAAAGCTGGGAGATTTTATTGGGAGGCGCCTGAAACTGGCTGACGGTGGTAAATCCTTTATTCTCGCAGTTGATGTTCAGGATGTTCTCTCGCTCTTCGCAGACGCAGCGCGTCTTGCAGATATCTTTGGAGGCTGAAGTTTTGCGGCTCTCCGTTTCGGACGGTGACAGGCTGGTGACCGTGAGGACGCTCAGCAAGAGGACGCCGCTCAGCATTTTTACAGCCAGGAAAGGTCGCTGAAATATAGATCCAGCATTTAAGTTTGCTGCACGAGCCTGGGATGGAAGATATGGGGGTGGGGAAAAAAAGAAAAAAAACTGGGAGTGAGTCCTCACTGTAGGGAGAGAGGGGAGAAAAAAGGAGGTAGAGGCGCTCACACGGACACAAACAGGCGCTCATACAAGCTCAGAGGCGCGCGGGGGAAAAGGCGCACCGCTGTTATTTGGTATAAAAAATGGGACCGTGACGCACAGGGGATGCGCAAATCTTTCCATTGACCTTCACAATGATTTCCAAAAACTGTTTTAAATCCCTCACAAATGTAATCTATCCTTGACAAGCAAAAGATACAAACCACCGCGAATCGCCGGGATCCTGCTTGTTGGATGAACTTGGCACATTGTCAGAGGCAGAGAAAAAAAAGCCACTTACTGCAACCCTCTTTTTCCTTTAAGAGAGCTCCGATTTATTCAGCGGTTTCACGCAGATCAGCAGCAGCTGCAGCCAAATATTCACAGGGAGACAGTGGCCGCGAAACGCTGCCTCGTTTCCACTCCACGCAGAAGAGGCGCTCCATTATAGTCCAGGCAGGAAAAAGCACTTAAAAAAAAAGATCCATAAAAATTGCGCAAAGATGCACCATGACGCACTACTGGCCGTCCTTATAACCTTCTTTCTTTTTCTTCGTTTTCCCTTTTAAAGAAAAGAGGAGGGCAAAAGTGAGTTCGCAGAAAGAAAACAGGAGAAAAAACAGCGCTGTGATTGAAAGAGAAGTACAGGAGAGAAATATTCCCGGAGCTGAGACATAACTACAGCCTGTGCTGTCCTCCTCCTCCGCTCTGCACACTGAGAGCAGCACTGAGCGTCTGCTGCTGCTGCTGCCCGACTGCGTTCGTGTGTGTTTGAGAGAGAGAGGAAGGAACCCATGGGGCCGTTACGTCACCTACACAGTCAACACACACACACACGGGCTGAGAAGGAAACCAGCAGCCCGCAAAACGATACGTCTTTTTTATTGACTCCGACCGCATAGCAAACTTATCTTTTCCAAAAGTGAATGCGAATTCTACTCCTGTCTCTGCAAACAAGGAGAAAATTTTAGCTAGAAATAAGGGATGCTATAAGTTTATCAGTGTGTGTGTGGTTTTAGAAATGGAAGTTGGGGGGGTCTGCTCTCTAAAGCTTAAGATTACTTTTCAAAGTAAGTTCAAACTGGAAGCTGTTACACAATATCACTTAAAAGCCACAATTGTAACAATTTAAAGTGCATTCAGCACATTCTTACCCGTACTGCAGAAAATACAAATGCAATGACGGTGTATTGCATTTGTAATACACGGTGTAATACGGTGTACACTTTTTGCACGTTTTGCAGGTGCAAAACGTGCAAAAAGTGTAAATGGAGTAATACAGAAACTGAATTACAGAAATCATTTTGTCTATCGCGAGAAGATTCGTTTGTAGCTTTCTTTTTTGAAGATATGTATATGTTACCCATGAGACCACTAGGAGGCAGGAAAGGCCTCTTTACAATCTCCATGTGTCTCATGATTTTCTCACTGTTACTTTTCTTTTGTCGTATGTCGCGTTCATGTTCACACACCCCTTTACTGTACAGAGATGCTATTAATGTCAGGAAGAAGTAAACTCAGATAAAAATTGAAATTATTCAAATTAACAGAGCCCATTAGAGATTAATATAAAACATTTAAAGGAACAATTTTTAATCAGAGTACAGCGTCAAGCAAGTGAAACTTCTGGGATATTGATCTGTTCAGTTATATCATAGAGGGACTATTAATCAGTTTCAGTTGCTTTGGTGTTAATGAAATTAACACCAATTAACATAAAATAAACTTAACGAACAACTGCCAAAACAGGAATGCTTTTACAGGTGGGGACCACTGCCGTTCTTTATTCCCCTTCTTTTCTGACAGTTTTTTTTTTAACTCTGGGAGTGCTGAACATGGCCATAGAATGTCCTTAACCCATCAGCAGGACCTTTGTCTGCTCCTTTGTTTCATTTTTGTTCATCCTGTTCCTGTTGGCACAGACTTCCCGAGAGCCCTAGGTCTCCCAGTGGGCCCTGTACTCACTGCCTGGCATTGTGGAGTCTGACTGGCATTTGCCATAGAATACCTGAATTGGCAAGTCCACCACTGGAGTCCTGTGCTTTTCATACATGAGAGCAGGTTTACCCTGAGCACATGTGATAGATGTGAAATGTTTTCGAAAAGCCATGGAGAAGGTTATGCTGCCTTTAATATCATGCACCATGTCTGGTTTCGTGGTTGGTCAGGGATGGTCTGGGGAGGCATATCCATGAAGGGATGCACAGACCTCTGTACACTGTTAAAAAAAACATCTTAAAACAACGGTAATATTCCGGCAGCTGGGGCGCCTTTTCCAAGTGCTTTTAGACATTAAACGCGATCAAACAATGAAATTACCTATAAACAAGGTCACTGAATGTGGAAATATGAATCATAATACATAAATGTAGAGAATATACAGTTAACAGTTGGTTTACGTAATAATTGATTGCATGCCCTGGGACAGACTGACAGAGACGAGGCTGCCATATCGCACCATCGGCCCCTTTGGCTATCACTAGTAGGCGGTAGGTGAAGAGTCTTGACCATGGACACAACGACGGAGAGTGTCGGAGCCAGGGTGCGAACCGGCAATCTTCTGATCACATGGCAAAATGCCAACTCATGAGCCACGAACGGCCTAACTAGCAGCGACAATAATACTTATGTGATGTAACACAAGCTTATAGGGATCATGTTATATACTTTTCCATAGCATTACATTTGAATTCAACAGTTCAATCTTTCAAATAACGGACAGATATTTGTGAAATCATGATACATTTGTGAATGTATTTTAACAATCTAAATATGCATATGTACAGACAGATACATTTAATAATCATGACAATTATGTTGTATTACATTGATTACATTACAGTGATTTAGAATAGAATTCAACTTTATTGTCATTGCACATGCACAGGTACAGGGCAACGAAATGCAGTTTGCATCCATCCAGAAGTGCTTTAGTGATATAGATATATTACAATATATATTAACAATAATATAGATATGTGAGTATATTACAGAAATGGGTCTATTATGGTATGTTATAATGTACACGGTATGAAGTATGTTGTGAATATTCTATAACTATAAGTATGTACAGGCTGTAGTGAGTACAAGATATGAACAGGATATAAATATGAAAAACTATACAGAATATGAAATAAATAACTTTACAGAATCTGAGATACACAGCTATACAGAAATGGGAACTATGCAAGTTGTAAACAGTTGTAGGATTAAAGATTATCGAATGTACAGAATGATTATTTACACAGAGCTATACAGTAGTGCAGTTAAGATAAGTGAGGGTGTAGATAGTTTCTACAGAGGCTATATAAAGTGCTAGTGGTTGTGAGTGGTGGTTCAGTCCATGTTATTATTGTGTGTTTGAGGGTACAGTTGTCCATTGTGGGTGTGTGTATGTTCAGTCCATGAGTTTAACGTGGGTCAGATGTCAGGAGGCAGAGTTCAGGAGTCTGACAGCTGTGGGGAAGAAGCTGTTCCGGTACCTGGTGGTCTTAGATTTAACGTTAATTTACATTCAAAATGTGAAGTCAAAGTCTATTTACGTAACTTTAATGATATTCTAGAAGAACAGAACATTACTGTGAAATGCACAGTAAAATACCTTCATATTAGGGTTTTTTCCTACTGTCACAGCCATACCCGCGACCTTGTTGTTAGTTCACATTCATTGGCCGATGCGTAGCGTCATGTTATTTATATTAATTGCAATTCCTACCTCTACATTTCTTTTTCAAATTATGTAATTAGCACAGCGTGTCCGAGCAATGTTTTACATTGTGGCATGCAGAGAAATCTTAACAAAGAAGCTCACAGAGAGAGATTGAGCTTGTTATTTAACCCCAAGCTGGTAGGGGGAGCTCTTTATTAAAACACTTGTGGTGCTACAATATGCCTCAAGGTTCAACAACAGCACAACAGAAGTCACTCATGGTACAGCACTCTCTCTACAAAACAACAACTGTCAGTGACGCTGCACCACGGCGTAAACACAACATTCAAGATAACAGTTAAACGTAACGTAACCATAAACAATAAAACAAGAACATCTAAACAGCAACACATGCCCCAAGGCATGATGGGAGACATTTCTGGATGTATTTTTACGATCTAAATATGCATATGTACAACAAAATATATTTAACAAACAAGTAAAATGTGTTTTATTACATTTACAGTGATGTTATGTTATTTTACATTTGACGTGTCAGATCACAGTCTACTTATGTAAATGTAATGCTATTCTAGAAAAACAGTACACATCTGTAAAATACACAGTAAAATCATTTGACATTACTATTTTTTGGGACAGTGTAGGTAACAGCATCCTGATTGTTAATAGGTATCAGGATGAAATCCTTAGACTCACTGTCAGACCATTGCTGGTGCAGTGAGTTCTGGGTTCTTGCTGACGCGCACCAATTTCGGGATTCATGTGACAAGAGTATTCAGACAATTCCTGGAGGATGTAGGAGTTGATAGCACTAATTGGCACCCATGCTCAACTGACTTAAATCCATCAGAACACCCCTGGGACATTATGTTTCCGTCTATCCAATGTCGCCAGGTTGTACCTCAGACTGTCCAGACTGTGAGCCTTGTTCCAGATCTGGAAGGAAATCTCACCATCTGTTGGCTTATTCGGATCATGCACTGTTGTCAGGCATGCACAGAAGCATGTTGGGGCCATACAAACTACTTAGTTTTATTTCTACATAATGATGTGACATCCTTTTGTTCCTAACACATTACAAAGTCACATCAGTATAGATTCCAGTAGGATTTTTCCCCATTGAGATCTGATGTGTTTTCAAAGTGTTCCTTTAATTATGCTAAACAGTGTAATAGTACATTATATGCACCCATATGTTGCTCTATTCTTTTCATTCATCAAGTAGTTGTGAAGTACAGTAACATAAAACTTGCTTCCCCAAATCCTTCAAGCACTTTCATGTTAGAAAAACTAGCTTATGCCTTTCAGGCTAAAATGGCTTTTCACTGGAGCTTTACGCTCTGACGTACCAGCATTGTACCGTTTGCAGAGTGTACTTATTTGTACTCCTGTGGTTTGTTCCTTAATGGAGATCAGTCTGGAACTTCTGGTGAGAAATCTTTACTTCAGTGTTATGTACTTTCATTTATACAGCGCTTCAGACTACAAGACATATTCTTAGCATAAATTCATAGAGCACTTTATTTACTTCACATCTGTGGTTAAAGTAGAATGATCAGTTAAGCTAACATGCATATGTTTGGCACGCACAAGAAGAACATGCAAACTCTACACACAAAGGCCCAGCTGAGATTTTTGCTATCGGGCAACAGTCCACCACTGAGAAAATAATTTGCCTTTTAAAGAAAGATGCAAAATTAGGTACAAGTTATGGATTTTATGCAAATATACTTTTTTAGCAGTAGTCAACCTGAGGTCCAAGCAGCTCGAGCTGATGGCTTTTGATGTCATTGTCTTTGTGTTTTGAAACCAAAGGGTGGATCTGTCTAAGAACCCGACAAACATGTCACCATCATAGAATAGCAATATGTCAGTCACAAGGTAGACTTTGAAGCTATGTCCATCTTTCATATGCAGTTCATCTGAAAGATTGAAAATATTAGGTGGACAGGATAGTTAACATTAGATCAAACCCAGTCAGTTTGTTTTTTTTATTTTTTGCTTAAAATTTTCTTTCTTTCACACAAAGAAATTAAATCTTCTTTTGATTTGAACCTAAATAGAGAAGGCCATC